CTGGACCACCTCTTGCGCGGCATCTGGGAGCTCAGAGTTGTGAGAATGTCTTGTGCGAAACGGGCCGGACCACCTTGCGCACGGCATCTCAGAGCTCAGAGTTGCGAGGATGTCTCAGGCGAGATGGGCCGGACCACCTCGCGCAGGGCATCTCGGAGCCCAGAGTTGCGAGGATGTCTCAGGCGTAACGGGCTGGACCACCTCGCGCGCGGCATCTCGGACCCCAGAGTTGCGACGATGTCTCAGGCGAAACGTGCTGCGAGGAAGTTTCAGGCGAAACGGGCCGAACCACCTCGAGCGCGGCGTCTCAGAGCTCCGAGTTGCGGGGGCCTCCTGGGGCCTCCTGGGACCTCCTGGTGACTTCCTGGGGCTTCTTCCTCCTGGGCCTCCTGTGGCCTCCTGGACCCCACCTGGGGCTTCCTGAAGCCTCTTGGAGCTCCCAGGGGGGATATCTAACATGTGGCCGTCGGGGCCCCCCAAAATGGGGGGGGGGCCACAAGAGCAAGCAAAATCAACGAATCGACATCGGATATGTATTAACTTGACACTTTCTGATATGGGGGCCGGCTGGGAACAGGGACCTCACCTTGGAATTCTCTTGCGGATGCTGCGCCTCTGTCCTGGGCGTCCTGCGGCCTCCTGAAGCTCTCTGGAGCCTCCTGGGGCTCCCAGGGTCCCAGGGGGATATGTAACATGTGGTCTTCTGGGCCCCTAGGCTGGACCACCTCTTGCGCAGCATCTGAGAGCTCAGAGTTGCGAGAATGTCTTGTGCGAAACGGGCCGGACCACCTTGCGCACGGCATCTCAGAGCTCAGAGTTGCGAGGATGTCTCAGGCGAGATGGGCCGGACCACCTCGCGCAGGGCATCTCTGAGCCCAGAGTTGCGAGGATATCTCAGGCGTAACGGGCTGGACCACCTCGCGCGCGGCATCTCGGACCCCAGAGTTGCGACGATGTCTCGGGCGAAACGTGCTGCGAGGAGGTTTCAGGCGAAACGGGCCGAACCACCTCGAGCGCGGCGTCTCAGAGCTCCGAGTTGCGGGGGCCTCCTGGGGCCTCCTGGGACCTCCTGGTGACTTCCTGGGGCTTCTTCCTCCTGGGCCTCCTGTGGCCTCCTGGACCCCACCTGGGGCTTCCTGAAGCCTCTGGGGGGTTCCCTGGGGGGATATCTAAACTGGTGGCACGTCGGGCCCCCCAATGGAAGGGGGGGAACAAGAGCAAGCAAATTCAACGAATCCCAGACCCAACAGGAGTGTATTAATCTCAGACCTCTTGGTCTTAGGGGGGCCTCCTGGGGCCTCCTGGGAGCCTCCTGGGAATCTCCTGCGGACCCCTGGGGCCTGTCCTGGGCGTCCTGCGGCCTCCTGAAGCTCTCTGGGGCCTCATGGGGCTCCCAGGGTCCCAGGGGGGATATGTAACATGTGGTCTTCTGGGCCCCCAGGCTGGACCACCTCTTGCGCAGCATCTGAGAGCTCAGAGTTGCGAGAATGTCTTGTGCGAAACTGGCCGGACCACCTTGCGCACAGCATCTCAGAGCTCAGAGTTGCAAGGATGTCTCAGGCGAGACGGGCGGTATTTGTCTCGGGCCGAACGTGCTGCTGCGAGGATGTTCAGGTCGAACAACGAGTGGACCAACCTCGAGGCGCGGGACGGTCTCAGAGAGCCGAGTTGCGGGGGCCTCCTGGTGCTACTGGGACCTTCCTGGTGACTTCCCTGGGGCTTCCTCCTGGGCCTCCTGTGGCCTCCTGGACTCCACCTGGGGCTTCCTGAAGCCTCTTGGGGCTCCCAGGGGGGATACCTAACCTGTGGCCGCTTGGGCTCCTCAAAATGGCGGGGTGGGGGGCACAAGAGCAGGAAAAATCAACGAATCGACACCAGATGTGTATCAACTTGACACGTTCTGATAGAGGGCCTCCTGGGGCCTCCTGGGAGCCTCCTGGGAATCTCCTGGGGACCCCTGGGGCCTGTCCTGGGCGTCCTGCGGCCTCCTGGAGCTCTCTGGAGCCTCCTGGGGCTCCCAGGGTCCCAGGGAGGATATGTAACATGTGGTCTTCTGGGCCCCCAGGCTGGACCACCTCTTGCGCGGCATCTGGGAGCTCAGAGTTGCAAGAATGTCTTGTGCGAAACAGGCCGGACCACCTTGCGCACGGCATCTCAGAGCTCAGAGTTGCAAGGATGTCTCAGGCGAGACGGGCCGGACCACCTCGCGAAGGGCATCTCAGAGCTCAGAAGTTCGAGGATGTCTCAGGCGAAACGGGCCGGACCACCTCTCGCGCGGCATCTCCGAAGTCTGAGTTTCGAGGATGTCTCAGGCGAAACGGGCCGGACCACCTCGCGCAAGGCATCGCAGAGCTCAGAGTTTCGAGGATGTCTCAGGCGAAACGGCCCGGACCACCTCTCGCACGGCTCCTCGGGGCTCAGAGTTTCGAGGATGTCTCAAGCGAAACGGCCCGGACCACCTCTCGCGCGGCGCCCCGGAGCGCAACTTTTCGAGGAAGTCTCAAGCGAAACGGCCAATCCCGGCCACGCCCTGAAAACGAGAGTTGTGAGGATGTCTCAAGCGAAACGGCCCGGACCATCAAATTTTTGTGAGGATGTCTCTGCTCCGACTTCCCTCGGCCGGATTTAGCTTCTATCACAACAGCACCCCGTTCAGCAAGCTGTTTGGGGAAAAAATCAACGAATCGACACCGGATGTGTATTAACTTGACACGTTCTGATAGGCAGCCTCCTGGGGCCTCCTGGGAGCCTCCTGGGAATCCTGCGGCCTCCTGGTGCCTCCTGGGGCCTCCTGGGGACCTCCTGGAGCTTCCTCCTGGGCCTCCTGTGGCCTCCTGAACTCCACCTGAGGTTTCCTGAAGGCTCTTGGGGCTCCCAGGGGGGATACCTAACCTGTGGCCGCTTGGGCTCCTCAAAATGGGCACAAGAGCAGGAAAAATCAACGAATCGACACCGGATGTGTATTAACTTGACACGTTCTGATAGAGGGCCTCCTGGGGCCTCCTGGGAGCCTCCTGGGAATCTCCTGGGGGCCCCTGGGGCCTGTCCTGGGCGTCCTGCGGCCTCCTGGACCTCTCTGGGGCCTCCTGTGGCTCGCAGGGTCCCATGGAGGATATGTAACATGTGGTCTTCTGGGCGCCCAGGCTGGAAACGGAAGACGGCAGCATACTGGAAGAGCCAGGGCCTGGGTTGCGAGAATGTCTTGTGCGAAACAGGCCGGACCACATTTGCGCACAGACATCTCAGAGCTCAGAGTTCAAGGACGTCTCAGACCCGAGACGGGCAGGAAACCACCTCGCGCAGGGCATCTCAGAGTCTCCGAGCTCAGAGTTTCGAGGTGGTCTAAGGCGGAAAGGGCCGGACCACCTCTCGCGCGGCATCTCCGAAGTCAGAGTTTTGAGGAGTCTCAGGCGATACGGGCCGGGACCACCTTCGTCTGCAGCGGCATCCGCAGAGCTCAGCCCTCAGATGTTTCAAGGATGTATCATGCGATCCGCGAACGGCCCGGCCACTCTTGCCAAGGCACCGGGGGCTCAGAGTTTCGAGGATGTCTCAGGCGAAACGGCCCGGACACCTCTCGCACGGCACCTCGGGGCTCAGAGTTTCGAGGATGTCTCAAGCGAAACGGCCCGGACCACCTCTCGCGCGGCGTCCCGGAGCGCAGCTTTTCGAGGATGTCTCAGGCGAAACGGCCAATCCCGGCCAACTCAGAAACGAGAGTTGTGAGGATGTCTCAAGCGAAACGGCCAAAACCATAAAATTTGTGTGAGGATGTCTCTGCTCCGACTTCCCTCGGCCGGAGTTAGTTTCTACCACAACAGCACCCCGTTCAGCAAGCTGTTTGGGGAAAAAATAGTCCCCATACTATTTTTGGACTATCTTTTGCTCACTTCTAAAATATTCTTACTTTTTCGTCGAAAATCCCCCTGTAGGGGGACACGCCCGACTTAAGGCGGGGAGGGGGCGGGTCCCGGGCCTGTGGCTCGCGCGCTGCACGACACGCGCGCGCGCGCGAACCACACGCGCGCGCGCGCGAACGACACGCGCGCGCGAGCATCGTCGAGGCACGGCTGCGCGCCGCACGGCACGCGCGCGCGCGCGAACGGCACGACGCGCGCGCGCGCGCGAGCGGCACGGCACGCCCGCGCGAACGACACGCGCGCGAGCGACGCTCGCGCGCGGGCCCGGCTGCCTGTGGCTCGCGTGCTGCACGGCGCGCGCGCGCGCGAACGCGGTCGAGGCATCGGCCGCGGGAGCGTCCGTCGGGGGCACGAGCCCCTGCGCCGAGGGCCCAAGGTCCCGCGGGAGTGCCCAGAACGAAGAGCGCTGCAGAGCGGAGAGCCACAGCACGAGGAGGGGGAGGAGGAGGAGGAGGAGGAGGAGGGAGGTGGAGGAGGAGGAGAGGAGGAGGAGAGAGGAGAGGGAGGAGGAGCGGAGGAGGGCAGCGGAGGAGGAGGAGGAGGAGGAGGAGGAGGAGGAGGAGGAGAAGGAGGAGGAGGAGGAGGAGGAGGAGGAGGAGGAGGAGGAGGAGGAGGGGGAGGAGGAGGAGGAGGACCGCCGCCGGGGCGCGAGGCAGACGGGGGCCGCTGCCCGCCCTCCGTGGCCGGGCTGGGGCCTGCAGCCGTCGCCGCCCGAGGGCCCCGCGGTCGGGGCTGCCGCCGATCGGGGGGCGCGGGCGTCTCCGGACGCCGTGCGCCTCCAGGTCCGGGGATGTCCTGAGCCCTCGCGCGGGCTGTACCACAGCCGCGTTCCGGGGGCCCAGACCCAGGAGGAGAGGAAGGAGAAGGAGAAGGAGGAGAAGGAGCAGAAGGAGAAGAAGGAGAAGAGGGAGAAGAAGAGGAAAGGACGGCTCAGGCATAGACACTTTCCGAGGTCCGCGCGGCTTTGCTGGATAAGTGCTGAAGGACGATCTAGACAATTGCATACAAGCGAGCGCGCGAGTGACACCTTTACAGCTGGTCACGCTGCCCCGCAGGGGCAGCAATCGCAAGCAATGAACGCTATCGCAGATTAGTGGCGAGCATAGCACGCTGTCTTCGCAAGGCTTCTTCAATATCGTGCTCTAGGCGTAAAAAGTCAAAGCGCATGCGGCACCCCGGTTTCGAAGAGACGCAGTAGATGCTGCATAAATCGTGTTCTGTCCTGAAGAACTCCTTAATGCGCTTTATCGTTGCTCCCTCTATACGTTTCTTCTCATCCACCCCAAGCTCGCTGTCGTCGTCCTCTTCGAAGGACTGCTCACGCTCGTCAATTTCGGACTGCACGTCGCAGTCGGTCTTGTTCCTGACAAGGAAGTAAGGAACGTCCCAACGCTCGAGCTCGCCAACCAAAGCCATCTCTGCCTCTGTGAACCGGGACGCGGTCAGCAGCACCACCAGGTCGAAGTGGCGAATGCCCATCCTGCCGAGGTATGTCTGCTGCGGGAAGCTAGGCGTCCCCACCCCAGGCAGGTCCCAGATGGCACACTCGGCCAGCACGCCCAACACTCGCCTGGTGCTGACGTCCGCGACCTCCCCGCACCCGAGGCGCACCCTGAACGAGCGTCGGTGCCTCCCTCCCGGAGGCACGACCACCTCGGCCGAGGAGGAGGAGGAGGAGGAGGAGGAGGAGAGCAGGAGAAGGAGGAGGAGGAGAAGGAGAAGGAGAAAGAGGAGGAGGAGCAGGAGAAGGAGAAGGAGGAGGAGGAGAAGGAGAAGGAGAAAGAGGAGGAGGAGGAGGAGGAGGAGGAGCAGGAGGACACGACCACCTCGGCCGTGCACTCCTCTGCCCCGGGGCCCCCCACGCCGCTCAGGAGCACGCGGTCCCCAGCCTGCAGGCAGACCTCGCGGTGGTCCAGGCAGCTCCAGGCGTCCCTGTGCTTGACCAGGGTCCGGATCAGCTCCGCCGACGACGACGCGCGCCGCCCTTCGACGACGCGGGAGTCCTCCGATGCTGTCACCCTAAGGACCTGCTCGACCTGATCGAACAGCTTGTTGAACACCCCGGCTCGGCCAGGCCAGAAGGTGTACATCTTTGGCTGTCGTGTGCACTCGGTGATGCCCGTCTTCGCGGCACCCTGGTCGCGGGGCCTCGTCCTCCGAATGGCATTGATAAAGGACGACTTCCCAACTCCAGAACCGCCTGTGACGGCTACCTGCACACCACCTTTCCGATAAGCGGGCTGCAAGTAGTCCGGGACGGGATAAACCCGCGGATCCCCTGTGGGTTCTCCAGGCGTGCTGGATTTGTTGCAGATTTGCGCGGGAGTTGGGGGGTGGCTGGGCTCGCAAAGTGGGCCCGAGCTCACTGAGGGGGCCCGGCGGCAGTTTTCCGTTTTGTGAAGCCTTCAGGACAGCCCATGAGAGCTCCAGGAGGGCGCAATGACGGCTCAAGAGACCTGCAAGACAACTCATGACGTCCCAAGAGGTCACCGATATGACCCCAAAAGACCGCAAGAGGCTCCAATGCTGCTGCGCGCAAGGCCCCCGCAAGGCCCAATCGACGAAAATTCGCCGGCCCAACGGGCCAGAGGCGTACTAAGATCTCCGGTAACTGGTTAACAATTCTTCTAGTTCGCGCGCGCGGGGCGGCCCCGGGGATCCCCCGGCGAAAAAAAAACCGACCGCAGCCCGGGAAGGTCCCGGGAAGGTCCCAAAAAGGTCCCGGGAAGGTCCCGGGAAGGTCCCGGGAAGGTCCCGGGAAGATCTACTCAGAGATGGTTTTGAGGGCCTTTTTTCGACACCCCTCACGAGGATTGCGGCCTCCGAGGGGGGTGCACTCGACTACCCCGCCCCAAGAGGCCCCCAAGAGCCCCCCAAGAGGCCCAAGGGGGCCCCAAGACGCCGCCAAGGAGCCCCAAGAGACCCCCAAGAAGAGGCCCCCAAGAGGCCCCTAGGAGGCCCCAAAGAGGCCCCCAAGAGGCTTCAAAGAGGCCCCATAGAGCGCTCGAGGGCCAGCGGAATGAGCGAAGCGATTAAATAAGTGTAGTTGTTTACATCCATACCTTGCCGGCTCAAGATGGCCACAAGATAGGCTCCAGAAGTATTCGAAGGAGCCCAAAAAGCTACTGAGATACCCCCAGGCGGCCCAAGAGGCCCCCAAGACAGCCTCAAGACAGCTCCAGAGGCCCCCAGCTGGCCTTCAAGACGGACCCAAGACAACTCCAAGACGGCCCAAGATCACGATCACCTCAAGACCGCCCCAAGACTTAAGATTCGCCCCATAGAAGGTCCTAGACCCTAGACTGGTCCCAGCGTTCGGCCACATGTGTCTCAGCGCAAAATATCCCCCGACATTCACTGGTCGGCTAAGCGGCCGACGACAGCTCCAGAACAAGACCAACCAAAACGGCAGCTCAAAACCAGCCTCCAACAGCCCGAAGATCTACCTGGCCGGAGCGGGCCCCCGGAGCTCGCAAAACGCAAGCCCATCTCAGCAAAACCTCTGAACCCTGCTCGTCGATCCAGCCTTTCCCTCCGTGCCTTCCTCCTTATTCGCAGACATCCCACTCCTCTGCGCTACGCTCCGAAAATGCCCCACAGCGCCCTGGGGTGATTACTATACTGGAACCACGCGCGCGCGCGCTTCGCGCGGGCTTAGGTTCTGGTCGCGCTCGAAGATATCTCATCGCAAATTGCCGTCGGGTACTGCCAGGTAGACTCGGGAGTTCCCTTAAGGCTGGTCGTGGGGCCTGCCGCCATTTGATATGGTAACCCCAAAATCGTGTAAGGGGATCTTGGGGGCTTCTACGACGCGTCGTCTGGAGCTGAAGGAGATTAAAGGAGAAGTGGGGTGCCCGAACCTGGCTCCGCATTGCCCGGTGCCCGAGGGCCGGGACCTGCCGTGCATGTATATACGTACATGTGTGTGCATACGAAATGTGTATGGATGTATGGCTATATATGTGTATATATGTATGTATGTGTGGATGCTTGTGTGTATGTGTATTTACATATATGTATATATATATATAAATAAAGGCACATACAAATATAATGTGTGAATAAACGTGTGTGTGTGTGTATGTATGAATGTTCGTTTGTACATTACACAGTTGTATGCATGCATGCATATACAGACCGATGCGTGAATATACGAGTGGCACGTGTGTGCCCAGGCTCATACAAAAAAATGAAGGGGCGTTTGAAGCAAGAGGAAGTCGCACTCGAGCGCAAGTGGGGTTGCCACACCTTGCGATGTGTGTACCAGGGCCCCCCAGGAAGCTTCAGGAGGCCCGACTTGGATACCAGAAGAGGCTCCAGGAGGCCCCAGGATTGTGAGTGTTGTGTGTGATGTGTGCTCTGTGTTGTGCGTGTTTTTTGTGCGCTGTAGGTGTTGTGTGTTATGTTTGTCTAGCGTGTGATGTGTTGGGCGTGGTTTGTGTCTCTGTGTGTGCATGTAGTTCTGAGCCCCCAGGAGGCCCCAGGAGGCCCCAGGCAGCCTCAGGAGGCCTAAGGAGACCCCAGGAGGCTTCAGGAGGCCCCAAGAGGCTCCAGGAGGCCGCAGGAGGCCCCAGGAGGCCCCAGGAGGTTTCAGGAGACCCCCAGGAGGCTCCGAGGCGGGGTCTGGGGCACCAGAAGGTTCAGAAAGCCCCAGGAGGCCCCAGAAGGTTCCAGGAGGCCCCCGGGGTCTGGGGTACCAGAGGGTATGCCGGGGCTCGATTTTGGGAGGATGTTTCAGGCGAAACCGCCATTCTCTGAGAATCGGGCTCCAAATTATTGAAACTACCATGTGTTTTGAAGTGTTATGTTCAAATGTTGGAATTGCCATGTGTTTTGGACCCTGACGTCACGATCTGCGTGAGGGGTGCCACCGATTTTCAGAATTTCGAGGATGTCCCTAGCGAAACGGCCAGAAAAATCGCGAACGCCCCGCGTACGCATTAATCGCCTCTGAGCTCTACTCCCTCGGAGAGGTGCGTCTGAGAATATATGTGTGTGCGTATATATATATATATATATATATATATATATATATATATGCACACGCATCTAGTTACAAGCCTTCGGACCATCATGCCACGGTGCCTGGGTTGTGTGTCAGAAGCCTCTTGGGTGTTCGTTGGTACCTCGTGGGAAGCCTCTCGGAAACCTCGTCGAAGGCGGCTGTGAAGAGTCTTGGGAGCCGTTTTAGGGCTTCTTGGGGCCTCTTTCGGGCCTCTTGGGGGCCTCTTGGGCCTCTTGGGGGGCCTCTTGGGAACCTCGAGGCGCCTCGTCGAGGTTTCTTTGGGCCTCCTGGGGGCCTGGGTGGGCGAAAGGCTGGAAATTGTGGGTTCGTGTTCCCCCTCTTGTGGCCCTCTTAGGCCGCTCTGGGGCCCCTCTTGGGCCGTCTTGGGGGGCCTCTTGGGCCGTCCCGGGGCCCTCTCGAATCATCTTGGGGCTCCCAAGGGGTCTTTGACGCCGTCTTGGGGCTTTGTTGGTCCCCTCTTGGGCCGTTTCGGGGCGGTCTTGGGCGCCTCTTGAGTCGCCCAGAGCGTTGAAAGCCCGAAGCGGTAAGAACAAACGCTTCAAAAACCTGAGGAACTCTATGTTCGGGCATCTTGGGGCACTCGTCGGAGTCCTCTTGGAGCCTTCTTGGACCGGCTTGGGGGCTTCTTGGCTCGTTTGGAAAGCTTCTTGGGCCGTCTGAAACCCCTGGAGGCCGTCTTCGGGGTGGCTCGGGGCTGTCTTGGGCCGCCGGGACGGCTGTCTGAGCGCTCTGGGGGCCGATCTGCAACCCCCCAACAGCGGGACTGGTGGCCCAGAAGCGCACCGAAAAGGGTCGGCCCCGCCGGGACGAATTAGCTTTGCGAAGGACCCAACCATATCCAGCTGTAGGTGCCGCGATCGCGTGTACAATCCTTAGTGGGGTTTCTAATAGGGGGGGCGCGACATGTGTGAGAGTGTCTCCCTCTGTGGGCCACGAGGTGGTGCCTGCTTTGCAGTACGCCATGCAGGGCTCCGCAGCTCCGCAGGTCGCATGGGTGGGGGAGACGCGTGCGAAAACCGCCACCGGTGCCCTAGGTGGAGCTACCTGTGGGGCCACGAAACGCTGTCCTGGGCGGGGGGGATGCACGTGAACACCGCCACTCGGGCCTCATGTGGACCTCGATGTGGGGCCACGAAACGCCGTCCTGGGTTGGGGAGACGCATTCGAACACCGCCACTGCGGCCGTAGGTGGAGCTCCCTGTGGGACCACGAAACGCTGTGCTGGGCAGGGGGGAGACGCATGCGAACACCGCCACGGGAGCCTTGGGTGCAGGTCCCTGTGGGCCCACGAAACGCTGTGCTGTGCGGGGAAGGCTCATGCGAACACCACCACTGGGGCCTTAAGTAGAGCTCCCTGTGGGGCCACGAAACGCCGTACTGGGTGGGGGACACTCATGCGAACACCACCACTGGGTTTTGGCAGTACGCCACGCAGGGCTCCGCGGCTCCGCATGTCACTCTACCCATGTGGAGATCCCTGTGGGGCCGCGAACCGCTGACCTAGGTGGAGGAGACGCATGCGAACACCGCCACTACGGCCGTAGGTGGAGCTCCCTGTGGGACCCCGAAACGCTGTCCGGGGGGGGAACGCATGCGAACACCACCGCCACAGGGGCCTTAGATCTAGCTCGATGTGGATCCGCGAAACGCTGTGCTGGGCGGGGGAGACTCATGCGAGCACCGCCACTGGGACCTTAGGTGGAGCTCGATGTGGGGCCACGAAACGCTGTCCTGGGCGGGGGAGACGCATGCGAACACCGCCACGGGGCCTTAGGTGGAGCTCGATGTGGGGCCGCGAAACGCTGTCCTGGGCGGGGGAGACGCATGCGAACACCGCCATTGGGACCGTAGGTGCACGCCCCTGTGGGGCCACGAAACGCTGTCTTGGGTAGGGGAGACGCATGCGAACACCGCCACTGGGACCTGAAGTGGAGATCCCTGTCGGGCCACGGAACGCTGTCCTGGGCGGGGGAGACGCATGCGAACACCGCCGTTGGGGCCGTAGGTGGAGATCCCTGTAACGCCACGAAACGCCGTCCTGGGTGGGCGAGACGCATGCGAACACCGCTACTGGGCCTTAGGTGGAGCTCCGTTTGGGGCCAGCGAAACTCTGTGCTAGGTGGGGGAGACGCATGCGAACACCGCCACAGGGGCCGTGGGCGGAGCTCCCTGTGGGGCCACGAAACGCTGTGCTGGGTGGGGGAAACGCATGCGAACGCCGCCATTGAGGCCTTCGATGGGGCTCCCTGTGG